GGGGAATTCTGGGAGTTGAGGTCCACTCATCTTAAAGTGGCCAAGTTTGGACAACACTGAACTAGAGGTACAAGATATGGGCTAAACACATCCAGACTGCCCCTAGATGGGAGCAACAAGAGCTTTCTCTACGTCTTTATTCCTCCCTAGTCTCTAGTAGGGATTCAGATTTTTGTAGCCTTCCTAAAACAGAAATTGGCTGCCACAAGAAGTAACTTTAGATCAGCCTTCCCCTAGCTGGGTCTTCCAGTCTATCTCCCACCATATATGCTGGCTGAGAATGATGGGAATTATAGCCTTGCCTATATGGAGGCATCAGACTGGGGAAGGCTGCTATATAAGAACAAGATAGAAAGATCTCATCTGCAACCTGAGATTTACATCACTGTAATGATACACTTGTATTGCTTTATAGATTCCCCCCCCTCAAAAAAAAACAAAATAGCATTTCAAGGAGCATGAAGGCATATATGATCATCTCAATGTTGAAGCAATATAACCCAGATGCAGGATTATTTACCTTTTGTAGAACTCTAACAGGACTTTAGCAGTCAAGATGCTTTATTTACTCTTCTATCAGAAGGAGCCTGATAGCATCTTTTCCAACTAACAAGTATATTCCTTCTAATATGTTAGTCGGAAGAGGTGCTGTCAGACTCCATTTGATTTTTGTCTACCCATCATTGCTCTCCTCCTACAACAAATGCTCCTCTGTTAAAGACCCCCCTCTCTCCCCACTGCTCCAGACCACTGTCCTCAGGTGCCCATTATGTTGTCTGATTTCTACTTAGCTGGATCCCCTTCAAAGAAGTTCTTATTGCATCTGGAGTTGTAGTAGCTCAGGATCTATTAACACTTATTTGTAATACTATACTTGCAGCACTTTTTATCCCATTTTCCATTAAAAGTAGATGAGGAGCTAAGAGTGTTGCTCAGGCCACTTAGCAGGAAAGGTTTCTTCAAAGCAATACTGTCCAGATGCATTAACTCCCATCATCTCTAACCATTAACAATGCTTTCTAAGACTGATGGAAATGTAGCCCAACCTATCTGGAAGATATGGGTTCAGAGAGGCTAATTTGTGGCATTTGTACTTCATTTGACAAAGAGACCTCTCACTGTTTTGTTTCTGCCTCTAGAAGCCAGTGCTAAAATGAGGGCTGGGGTGCAAAGTGCCTTTGAGGAGGTCGTCATGAGGATCCTGCAGACTCCAGAGCTTTGGAACATCAGACGAGAGGGAATGAAGTTGGCAGAAAGCAGAGCCTTCAAAGAAGCAGATGCCTGCAGTTCCTATTGTTCTGTTGCTTAACACCCTGCCTGTTCAAATAAAAAGGCCCGGGCCAAAGATGCTGAAGAGATGGACTCCCTTCCCTGGTATCACATTATGCTTCCCATCTTCTCTCAGGAAAACAACATCTGGGGTGGACAATCTTGGGTGGCCAAGAGCAACCACGAACAGGATGATCATAAAAATAAAGGACTGGGGTTTTTCATTCCCCCTGCCTCCCCCTGGTCATTGGGGTTTTTTAGCCAGATTGGATTTTATTTGTTTATAACATTTTTAGAGCACTACAATTTTCACGTAACTCTCAGTTTAAAATGGCAGGAAGCAGCAGCACTGACTTGGAGGTCATGAGACCCTTTAACAGTCAGAGAACAGTCAGGGGAAGCTCTGAAGGCTATCAAATGGGGTTTGTAACCCACATGTGCCCCTGGGGTTACAGGTTGCCCACCCACTCTGATACACTATATGGAGTACAGATTTTGTTTCCTTTGGATGAGAACATTGGACACTAACTTCTGCTCACGAATAAGCAAGTGAAGGAGTTTGGGAGCAGATTCCTCAGGCAAGTCACAAAACTCTTAATATCAGCCTCTGTGCACTCAAAGATCCTTTCACCTTCTGCCAATTCACAGTCTTTGTATTCTTTCTATCCTCCAGGCTGCCAACTCCTCTGTTACACACATAACACACAGTTCTGTTGCTGCTTCCTCCAGATGGCAGTCACCCTCTCCAAACTGTGATGGCATATCATTCAAAATGATAGATTCCCTGCCAACTGAGAGACCTCTTAACCATTTGCTCCAGTTCATGAAATATCAACCAGCCTTTCTCATATTTAACCAGTGAGCTAAGAACATAAGAAACTATGTTAGACATTCATGTATCAGTCTGTTTGGTTTTTGCTTAATGCATTACATGAAAGCCAGCCATTGTGGTTTGAATACCATGGTTTATGGCTAAGCATGATACATGGTTTATTCAACAAACCATGATTAATTATTACTTAGTGTGAAGTGGGAGCCCATCATGTAATAATAACATCATAACTTAAACTGCAGGCAAGGCTAAAATAGCTAAATCTCTTTCTCAAGACCTCTTTTGAATGTTATTCCTGTATTATCGAAGGATTGAAAATCTTTTAAAAGATATTATCTAATTAATGCATTTCTGAACTGCTCCTTCACTCTCAATTGCTCAGGATCATTTACACTAACTCGGAGAAGCTAAATCAGTGCAGATAAATGCAAACATTGTAGGAAAATAGAAGAGCCTTCAAAAATTAAAAAGGATTTGTAATCATGAAAAACACAGCAAAAAACAATTTTCTATCAGTAATAAAAGCATCAAATAAACCTCTCCCGAAAGGGAATTCAACAGCTGAGAAGCTGCCAAAGAAAAATCCCTATTAAGTGCCCATCAGTTTCACATATCATGGGACATACAATATTTTCAGAAAGTGAATGAAGGGGAAGGTTCATAGGGATTATTTTGATCTCTAGAAGTTCAGCATTGTACTAGGTAGTCCCCAAGTTAAGAATGTCCAGTTTACAGATGACCCATAGTTACGAACAGAGCCTATTGTAGCAAAATTCCAGTTAAATACACAATGATTTGAGTTCATTATACAATACTACTTACATACAAATTCAACTTTAGGACAGACCTTGGGAACATAACTCGTTCTTAAACTGGGGACTATGTAGGTTAAAAAGCAGCCTGTGGCTGTCTTGCAGATTTCAAAAAGCTAAGCAGAGTCAGATCTGGTTAGTACTTGGGTCAAGGTCATCTTCAGCCAAGGATATCAAAATGGTGAGCGCAACTGGGAGATTGAAGCCTCACCTCTTTCTACATATTGCTGCCAACATCCCTGACTTTTCCTGACTTGATTACCATCAGGAGATCCCAGCACTGAGGGCTAAACTGGGGAGTTGGGAAAGAACGACCAGCATCTTCTGTATTCCTGCCAAGAGAACTGCATGGAGATATCTATGAAGTTAGTGGAAGTCAAGCTCAGCTCAGAGGAGACTAGCATGTTTATGTGATTTATATAATATGTATAGAGACCCAGTTTGGGCTAGTGGTTAAGATGCTGGACTAGGAGTTGGGGAAGCCTGGGTTCTAGTCCCCCCTCAAGCATGCAAGCCAGCTGGGTGACCTTGGGTCAGTCACTCCTTCTCAGCCCTGTGAAGAAAGCAGTGGCAAATCACTTCCAAAAATGCTGGCTAGAAAACTGCAGGGACTTGTCCAGGTATTCACCAGGAGTCAAATCTGACTTAAGGGTGAGAGAGAGAGAGAGGACGTGGGGACTCTGGCCACGCCACCATGAGCTTTTCAACCTTTACATGACATTTCTTGCTGAGAAGCAAAGAACCTCAAGAAATTGGGTTTTCCTCCCACCTGAGCTGTCTAGGCCTCCATCTCTCTCTGAAGACCACCCACCCAAGCAGAGTTAGCTGAAAAAGGCCTGGTGACTTGCCCCTCTTTCCCCTATCATAGAATAAGGCCAAATGTTCTTAAATATTCCTTAAACATTAGCCAAACGAACCCTAAATCAGGGATTCTTGCCCTTTTGGGGTAGTGGGCTGTTACTGTGCTGTAATCATTTTTACAAAATAGCCATCCTCGTTGGCAGGGCCACTGAGAAATCATTCATTTACCAGATTAACATACTTCCAAACAGAAGATACTGAAGTGCATTCTCTGTTGCTTTTAATTCCCAAGATAAAGGTTGAGACTGATGATTTGCAGCACATTAGCTTCTCCACATATTTATTCATTTTAGCTGAAAGACTCAACAACAAAAAAAACACAGTCTGGTGGGTCATGGAGCCTAATATGACTCAGCCTCAAAGAAGGCATATTCATGTTCATCTGACCTTAAAGGCAGGTTCCCATTTTTCCTTTCCATCTGACCATAACCCCTTCAGTTCTCATATGAGCAAGGAGATCCACCCACTCCCTCCCATTGGCTCTACTCTCTACATAAACTTCTTTTTCTTCTGGCCCTTTTGCTAATGAGGAGAAACTTTTCCATTGTGACATCATCATCTGCACCATTCCTCATTCTGTGTTGGACTGACTTGGTGGGGGTGTCCAGGTTCAAGTCCACCCTCACCTGTGGAAACTCACTAAAGCCAATCACTTTCTTTCTCAGCCTGTTTCAGTCCCAGAGTTACTGTTGTGGGGATAAAATAAAGGAAAAGTCCCATGTGTGCCATCTAAAGCAGTGTTTCTCAACCTCAGCAACTTTAAGATGCCTGTACATCAGCTTCCAGAAATCCCTAACCAGCAGGAATTGATATCTAGACATCTTAAAGTTGCTGAAGTTGAGAAACATTGATCTAGAGCTCCTAGAAGAAAGGCAAGATAGACATCTCACAAAGAGATTTCTCCCCTTTTCCTTAGGCATGTCAGTTACGAGGCATGGACACTTAGCCTAGCCAACATCCCCAAACTCAACTTTCTTCTTCTAAAGATGGGGATGACAATAAGGTATTGTTTGGTTGGTGTGGGTCTTCCGGGCTGTGTGGCCGTGTTCTGGAAGTTTTGTTTCCTAATGTTTCCCCCCCCCCCCCGCTTTCGCCCCTCTCCATAGTGCTATACGTCGCCCGCCGCGGTGGGGGGTGCACGGTGGAGAAAACACTCACACCCAAAC